GCCGCAAGTCGTTCACCGCGAAGCAGATCTTCGGGAACCGCGTCACGACCGGCCACGTGCAGAAGGACAAGGGAACCGTCGCGCCCATCGACACGGGACACACGGCCGCGACGGGGTCCACGTCCCCGACGTCCGGCGGCACGCTCGAGACGGCGAGCCACGCGGAGCCCGCGTCGCCGAGCCACCCGGCGCCCGCGGCGCACCACGGCGGCGGCCACGGCCACCACAAGAAGCACCACAAGCACCACCACAAGAAAAAAAAGTCGAAGAAGGAGGAGGAGGCGGCCTTCGACCCCTACGCCGACGACCGGAACCAGCGCGCGCTCCAGGCGAAGCGCGTCGAGGCGTCGCTCGCGCACGCCAGGGCAGCAAAAGAGAGCGAAATTCCCAACTTCAAAGGCTCCTATCTCGGCCGTTTTCCACTCGTTTTGGCTGACTTTTGGACGAGCGATCATCTCTCGGAACTGTCTCGAAGCGTTGATGCTTTTTTTGGAACGCGCGCGCGCGGAAAACTCACGTTGAAGCGACGTTGAATCACTCTTTTGCCGCCCAGGCGCACGCGCGCGAGCTCGCGACGCGCGTCCGCGCGACCGCGTCCGTGGAGCGCGAGGCCGACAAGCGCAACGACCGCTTCAAGAGCGCGGAGCAGGCGGAGATCCAGGCCTTCTTGAACGACAAGGACGAGCAGCTCGCGTCGGCGAAGGAGAAGGCGGACCAGCACATCTCCGAGTTCGCGGAGCACGCCGCGCGGAAGATGGTCGAGACCGTGCACCGCATCCGCCGCGAGGCGGCCCTCGCCTACGACCGCCAGCTCCTGAAGCACGCGTTGCGCGTGCTGCGGCTGCCTTGGGCGGAGAAGCGGTCCGCGGCGCTCATGCGGCGCCAGATTTTGCGGAACCGGCTCGCGATCTGCGCGCGCTACCGCCAGCTCGACCGGGGCATGCCGCGCTTCCGGCGGTTACGCGTCAAGTGGGTCGTCTGGAACACGTGGCTCAAGTTGTTGAGCAACCACTACGTCTTCCGGAGCCCCCACATCAACTCGAAGCTCGTCCGGCGGCGCGACGTCGCGCTCCGGGCGACGGCGCTGCTCCGCGAGCGCGGCGCGGCGCGCGCGCGGACCATCCCCGGCGACGCCTTCGCGGACCTGCGGGGCTGCTTCTGCCGCTGGGCCTGCTACGTCATGAACCGCATCCGGTGGCGCGAGATGCGGACGCTCGGGGAATTGCGTTTGGACCTCCGCACGAAGACGATCTGCTTCATGGCCTTCCGGCGCGAGGCGGGCTTCGGCGACGCCGAGGGCCGGAGCCCCCTGCTCCGGCGCTGCGAGGCGGATTTATGCGAGTACGCGGCGCGCTTCGTCGCCACGCGGCGGAAGCGCGACCTCCTCCGCCAGCTCCAGGGCAGGACAAGAGAGCGAAATTCCCAACTTCAAAGCCTCATATCTCGGCCGTTTTCCACTCGTTTCGGCTGATTTTTGGACGAACGATCATCTCTCGGAACGCTCTCGAAGCGTGGATGCTTTTTCCGGAACGCGCGCGCGCGGAACACTCACTTTGAAGCGACGTTGAATCTCTCTTGTCCTGCCCAGGCCAGCTCCGCGCGTCGAACGCGATCCACGCCAAGGCCGTGCGCGACAAGGCGCGCAACGGGCCGAGCTTCCGCAAGTTCCTGGGCACCGTGCGCAAGGAGACGGAGCTGCGCCTGCTCTTCGAGCAGAAGCTCCTGCTCGACGCGTTCGAGATCCGCGGGACCGTGACGTGCGAGGACCACGACGTGCCCATGGAGCTGCCCATCAACGGCGGCGGCGAGCTTTTGTTCAAGGACCCCGTCGCGCCGCCGGGCTCGAAGATCGGCGCCATCGCGGTCTTCGCGAAGCGCGGCCACGGCGTCCTCGGCATCGGCGCGACGGTCCAGGCCGACGGCGACGCGGCGACGATGCCCTTCCACGGCGGCAGCAGCGGGTTGAAGGAGACCTTCGAGCTCAAGCAGGGCGAGGCCCTGAGCGCCATCGAGCTCACGCTGTCGCCGAGCGTCATCGAGGCCGTCCGATTCGAGGCGTCCGTCTTCGGCAACGTCGCCGCGAACAAGAAGACGGGCGGCATCATCGCGACCATGTTCGAGAACAAGCGCTGGATGGGCCTCGCGAAGACGAAGAGCCGCTGGAGCAAGTGGTTCGGGTCGTCGGTGTCGTCCGACGCGCGGACCGTCGTCGTCCGGGGCCCTCCCGAGACGGCGATCGTCGCCCTGCTCGGCACGGCGACGACGTCGCGCGTCGTCGGCCTCGGCGTCGTCTACCGCACGATCCAGCAGGAGGGCGTCTTCTCGCCCTACTGGACGGCGCCTTTACGGTTGAGCCGCGCGGACGCGGCCACGGCGCTGCCGCCCATCGACGGCAAGGAGAAGCCGGCCGCGGCGCCGCCGCGCGCGCGGTCGTCGAGCCGCGAGAAGCAAAAAATCGTGAGCCACGCCCTCGAGGACGGCGGCGTCGCCACGGGCGAGGAGCAGCACGTCCTCGAGTTCGTCACCGTGCTGCGCTACCGCCGCGTCGACGCGTTGAACGCCGTCGCGCGCGCGGAGATCTTCGCGCGGCGCGTCTGGAGCAGCCGCATCGTGCGCATGCGGCGCCACCTGAAGCCCCTCTGCACCATCACCATCGTCATGGGCCTCGCGAAGTGGCTCTTCAGCGCGCTCGCGGCGCCGCTCGTGCCCCTCGCGCCGGAGAACGACGACGTCGCCGCGCAGCTCGACGCCGCTTTCAAGCGCATCTTCGAGGCGGAGACGGCCAAGACCGCCGCGGCGAAAAAAGAGGCGTTTGTGCTCGCGCGCATCGCCACGCACAACCGCATGGTCGACGAGTCCGCGCGGCGGCCGCGGACGCCGAAGCAGCGCATGCTCAACGCGTCGCGCGTCATGATGTCGCCCCAGTGGCGCACGCAGGAGACCGTGCGCCTCCTCAAGGACGACCACGACCTCGCCACGGCCGCGTCGGACCACGCTTTGGCATGCGTCGAGGCCGAGGCCGGCGTCCGCGACACGTACGCGGCCAAGGCCAAGGCGATCCGCGTGGACCCGCGCGCGCCGCGCGTGCGCCGCTGCTACACGCGCCTCGTCGCCCTCGCGCGGCGCCAGCTCCAGCTCCAGAAGGACTGGGGCGCGGACCACTTCCTCGACACGCTCAACGCGACGACGGTCTCGGAGCAGGGCGGCGCGATGCCCCGCCACGTCTTCGAGGCCGTCATGGAGACGCTCGTCGTCCGGAAAGCCAACGAGGACGCCCAGCGCGAGCGCGACGCCGAGGAGGAGGCCGCCGCGGAGCTCCGGCGCCTAAGCGCGCCGGACCGCGACGACGACGAGGACTCGCTCCACGACGCCGCGTCCCTCGACGACGACGACTCCGACGACGACTCGGGCACGCACGACACCGCCGCCGAGGCCGCGTTCCAGGCGGCGCTCGTCACGGACGAGCAGGTGCTGAGCTAGTAAGGAACGGCTTTTAGGAGGGTTTCGGCGCGATCGGCGGGGCCCGCGCGATCGGCGTCGTCCGTATGTGTCACTCCGGGACTCGCTCGAGCGCGTCGGGGTCCGGGCTCTCGCTCGAGCGCGCCAGGAATCGCTCGAGCGCGTCGGGGTCCGGGGACTCACTCGAGCGCGTCGTCCGAGTCGACGGCTTCGTCGGGCTCGCGCGACCGCGACCGCGACCGCTCCCAGCGATCGGACCGCCGCCGCGACCAGGGCGACTCCGGCCGGTCCGCGCAGCGCTCGTAGTAGACCCAGCAGTCCTGGCACAGAAGGCACAGGCCGTCGTTCGAGTAGCGATCCTCGAAGTTTGCCGCTATGCGCTCGTCCCGCTGCCGGTTCACGAACGCTCGCAGCGCCTCGGTCGGCGCCGCCTCGACGCCGTCGTCGTCGTCGAGCGTCTCGTGGCAGGCGACGCACGTGTCCGGCAGGCACTCGCGACACCACCCGCCGATCAGGGACGGGTTGTTGCTCAGGTGTTCGCCGCATTCTTTGCAGAAGTTATCGACTACTTGCCGTCGACTCCACGGGTCGTTTATCGCGAATGAGAACTCCTCGTAGGACGTGTCCGACTCGGAGTCGCTATACCGACTGTCGGCGTCCATTTTTTTGTCGCGAACGCGGGCCGAGAACCGCCTCAGCACTCTCTCTAGCGCATTAGGCGACGCACCCCGCCTACGCGCCTACCTCAGCACTGCTCAGCTGCCACAATTTTTGCCACTTCGAGTCCATCTTTGCGGTGCGAGTCCGCGCGAGAGGCGATGTCGTCCCAAGGCGAATTCGATGTAACTTTGCGCATTTTTTACGGATCAGATGGAGTCATGAATGACGTCGAGACGACGGTCGTAGTTCAACCCTGCTCCGTCTTGCATGTTTTTCTCCAATATAATTTAGATCTACGATCCTCCGACTTTAAGCGACGGCTGGAAGAGATGGGAGGAGCGCCAATAGAGGATTTAAAGCAGGCGTTGAAGGAGACCTGGGTGGCATATCAGTCGTTCGACGGCGACGCTGCGGTGGACGGCGCGGCCGTCGAACTCGACGCGGTCGTCGCGGGACCGTCGACTCTGACTTTGCGAAAGCGCGTCGCCGACAAGGACGCGGTTCTGCTCGTTGCGTATGCATCTGAGACACAAATCATTGACATTAAATGGGCCAAACTACCCCTGACCGCCGTAGTTACAGTCGAGCATACCAGCTGCTTCCGGTTCATGATGAGTCTTGCGCGACAGAAAGGTTCCATGCAGCCGCTGAGTGAATTGAGACCAGGGACCCTCGATTTCTTTGTGATGTCAGGGTATAGTCAACAGGACGTGACCCAAGCCACCTCCTCGCTGATCGATGACTACAACGCAGGTCGCTTCGTCCCCGTGGACGCATCCGCGAAAGTCTCCGAGGTCGTCGAGTCGCAACGCGGCCGACGCCGGTGTCATGTGCTTCTCGTTCATGCGGCGCGTAAGGGCCCCTTGGTCTCTCGCGACGGCGCTCCCAAGCGGGCTCTGAAAGCGTACACGATCTTCGCGTGGGAGCGTCGACCGGCGCTGGAGAAGCAGGGCATGTCTCTCGGCGAGATTGGTCCGCCGCGGCGTCCGGTCGAAGGGGCGTTTCTCGCGCGCGAAGCCCTCATTTCCCGCAGGTAGAGCACTCGGCGAGGAGTGGAGCGAGCTCAGTCAAACAGATCAGGAGTACTATGAAGAATGTGCTTACACGGACAAGCGTCGCTACGAAGCGGAGCTGGTCTTCGTCGCGGCGGGCGCTTCGCACCTCGACGCGCCGCTCTCTTGGCTCTACCCGTCCAGCGGCCCGAGGACCAACGCGGGCGACGGGATTTGGAAGATGGACGGTCACGCCGACTCCGAGCTCTTCGAAGCCGCCCTTTCCGCGACCGTGGGCCTGCGGGAATGCGCGCTGAAAGGCGGCAAGTGGTATTACGAGATTACCATTCTAGATTTCTGTTCCGTTCCTCAGTTCGGCTGGGCGCTCTCCGGCCTCGCCCCGACTTCAATCAACGGCTGCGGCGACGACGGTAGGTCCTACGCCTGCGACGGCGACCGGTCCATGCTCTGGGGCCCCGGGGCGAACTGGTCGACGGAACGACACTTCTTCCCGAACCTCCCGTGGAAGGTGGGCGACGTCGTCGGGTGCGCGCTCGACCTCGACTGCCGGGAGATCCGCTTCTCCGTCAACGGCGTCTACGACGGCGAAGAGCCCAGCTTCTGCGACATCGTCGACGTCTCCGACGCCGCCGCTTACTTCCCCGCGCTCTCGATGCGCGCGGGCCAGGTCTCGGTCAACTTCGGCGGCGCGCGCGCCTTCCAGCACCTTCCGGACGGCTACGTCGCCGTCGACCGCGCCGCCGAGCCCGCCGCGGAGCCGCCGCCGCCGGCTCCGAAGCCGCTCACCGGCGCGGCCGCGCTTTTGGAGACGCTGGACAAGTTCAAGGCGCAGAACGGCGGCGTCGACGACCCGTACTACGCCTGCATGCGCAGTGCGCTCGAGGAGCTGGAAATCGAGGAGCGCGAGGAGGGGTCGTAATCCAGCTTTAGTCTTGGACGTCGCCGGAGTGCGCTCGAGGAGCTGGAAATCGAGGAGCGCGAGGAGGGGTCGTAATCCAGCTTTAGGCTCGGACGTCGTCGGAGGCCATCGCGATTGGCGAGCCAAGCTCCACAAGGCGGAGTCGAGTTTGCAGTCATTGCAGTCGAATGCGACCCGCTCTTGACGCGATATTCGCACATCGCGCGCCAACGACTGCGACACAACATGCCCGGGCTAGGGGAGCAATTCGAGGTACTTGTGCGCTGGCTCCCGGCCGAGGAGCAAGCATCCGACGACGGGCTCCTCAAGCCGGTCGCGTTCCGGGAAACGGCGGGTAAGACCGTGAAGAACTACGCGGACCGGCTCTTCAATAATGTTGGCGACGATCTCCCCGGCGGCGACGCGCGCGAGTTCTCCTCCGAGCTCGTGGCGTACCGAGGGCCGCTCGACGGCGACGCCGCGGAGGACGGCGCCGCCGTCGCGCTCGACGACGTCGTCGCGGAACCGTCGAGATTGACTTTGCGACCGCGCGTCCCCGAGGCGGGCGCCGTGCTCTTGGTCGCGTACCAGAACTCGCAGCAGATGTTTTATGACCTGGTTGATCTGCCCGTGGCCGAGTTTGGCGCGTTGAGCTGCCACGACGTCGCAAGGTGCGCCATGTCGGGCGGAGCGGTGGACACGTTTGACCATCTTAATTGGCAATTTTTCGTCGCGTCGGGATACAGCAGCCAAGACGTCGAGCTCGTGAAGGACGAGGCTGACTACGACGCAGATCGCTTCGTCCCCGTGGACGCGTCGGCGAGCGTCTCCGAGATCGTCGAGCCGCGCCGCGGCAGGCGGCACTGCCACGTACTCCTCTTCAAGGCTCTACGCAAGGACCTCACCGCGGCGCCCCTCGCGCGCGACGACGCCGTGCCGCCGCAACCGGCGAGCGGGTTCGTGCTCTACTTCCGCGCGAAGCACGAGACGAACCCGGACGTCGACGCAGTGAACGACTTCCCCACCGCTACCTTCGCGCGGGAGACGGCCGCTGAGTGGAAGGCGCTCGACGACGCGGGCAAGCAGCCCTTCTACGACGCGGCGACGAACCAGCGCGAGTTCTATGACCACCAGGTCGCCTTCTGCCAGAAGAGCGGGGACGCGCTCGTCGGCGTCCGCTTCCTCGACCACCGCAAGTCCGTGAAGGCGTGGGGGGGGGCGCGCGCGACAGTGACGGCCTACGACGCGACCCTCGAGACGGGCACGCGCACCGACGGGCCCTGCTACAGCATCGCCTACGACGACGAGGCGCGCCCCAACGAGACCATCGGCCTCGCGGAGCTCCGAGCGCGCGTCTGCGGCGACGAGGAGAAGGCGAGCGAAGCCGCGGCCGCGGCCTCCGGCGTCGCCGCCGCGTCCGAGGTCGCCGCGCCGCCGGTCGCCGTCGCGGCAGCCTCGCAAGAGCCCGTGGCTGCGAAGCGATGCCTGGTGATGGTGTGCGCCGGCCCTAAGGGCTCGGTCGCGCACAAGTTCTTCGACATCGACGACACGCTTCTGGAAACGACGCAGGCGGAGCTCGCGTGTCGCACCATCGAGGCATTTCAGGCGCCGAGCCTCTGCGCGGACGACATCTTGAAGCATTCCGTGTTTCGCATGTCCGCGCGCTACGCGGACGAGCGCGAGGCCGACGACCGCCGCCTCGTCGTATCGGATTTGGGTCAATACGGCCGTTCTGATTTACTCAAGGGCGCCAAGCTCACGCTTGCGAGTGCCACTCTCCGCGAGGCGATGGAGACCATTCCTGAAGAAGGTTTCATGGTCTGCCACGCGAGTTGCGCCGCGCTGACACGCGCCTCCGAGTGTCTATCTACCGTGTCCGTCGTCGATGACCGCGGCAACTCCATGCTACAGAACACTGGATTCTCTCTGTTAGATTCCTCTGAGACGCAGTACGTCTCCATTTTAGAAGATATGGCGTCGGGCGTTCTGGAAGACGGCGAGTACCTGCGACCTAGGAGCCGTCACGAAGAAGCGAAACCGAAACAAGAGTGGCTGCTTGATCGGGTCCGAGACGCGACCTCCGAGGCCTTCGCATCTTGCAACGGCGAACCCATGCGGCCTATCTCCCTAGATGATACCATTGAGGAGGCGGAGGCGCGTCTCGGCGCTCACATCCGGCTCAAGATTGTCGTGCACGGCGTCGGGCTGAGTGACGCGCCGGCGTCTGACGAGGAGAAGTTTTGGCTGTGTCCCGAGCTCAAGTCCCTCGCGCGCGTGTGCTGGACCGCGCTGGCTGACGACGCCGCGACGGATGACTCTCAGCGCGCGACGAAGAAGCTCGAGGTCCTCGCGAAGCTCGACAATCAGTACGCGAAGGACGAGCTCGCGTGGTTCGACGGAAGCCTATCGCTGGGCATGGTTCCTCGACCCACGTCGATGACTCCGGAGGCTTACCGCGAGAAGAGCCTAGCTACGCTCGAAGCAAACTCGGAGCTCAAAGGCGCGCCCAGCTTTATGATGAACTTCTCTACTTCATCGTGTCTGGACATCCTTGTCGCAAGTTACCCGAACGCGCGAGAGAGGACCGCCGCTTTGGACGCGTTGCAGATCCTGCGACTGAAGCGATGCAGCTGCTGGATTCGATCTTTGGCGGCCGAAGCCAAACAAAATACCAAGTCCGATCAACGATGCCGTAACTTCATTTGTAAGCTGGGATATAATGCGCGCCAGAGTCTTTTGTACCACGACATGGGATCGCATCCGCATCTCGCCGTCGCGCATCTGCTTTTCGCTTTTTGGCTGCTCGAGGGCAAGGGAAAAAAATTGATGATGTTCGTGGACACAAAATACGAAAAAAAACAGTTCGGTAGCAACGACGACGAGGTGGTCGCGCGCGGCCTCTCCTTGGCCATTCTCCCCGCGCACGACTTCAGCGACTACGACGCGGAGTCCGGAGCGGACGTGCGGCGCGCGCTCGAGGATCTCGCGTGCCTCTGGGCGAGCAAGCTGCCGTCGTCGGTGCGGCACCTCGAGGTGGCGGCGGCGGCCGGCAACGCGCTCGCCGCGAAGGTCGTCGAGCGGCTGCGCGACGCATGGCCGTCGCGAAAGCTCGCGCGCCAGTACGACCTCACGACCTTTGGCGCGCCGTTCCTCGAGAAGCTGCCGCCGGGCCTCCAAGACCTCGAGAAGGTCATGTCGAAGTACCCGGTGCCCCAGCCCTCGGCCCCGGCCCCGGCCCCGGCGCCGCCCCCCGAGGAGGCGCCGCCCGCCGAGGAGGCGCCGCCGCTCTCCAAGGCGGAGATCGACCGGGAGGTCGAGGAGGCCATGGACGCCCTCGGTGATACCGCCGCCTCCGCTCCCGCGAAGAAGAA